ACTTTTTTATCAGGGTAATATATTACAAAAACAACTTGACTATATCAACCATGGATACCCAAAATTTCCAGGAAAATTTCGAGCCGAAGATAGAGGAAGAAGTGAACGGGGCCTTCTACCAGCGGGGCCAAAGCCTTTCCTCAATCACAATTCTCCCAAATCGTTAATTATTATAACGAAGGAGTAAAGGGTCTCAGATATTTTTTCACAGCCTTTTTATATAAAATTACAGATCAAAATTTATTTATAGACTTGGACGGGAACGGACGAGAAATTGCCAGAACTTTTATTGCAAAGCAAGTCTATAGGGGCGACTCAGGTACGTAAGCACCTTTTTTTTTCAAAATTCAAAAGTCTAACCACGTGATAAACCCCCATGTGATCATGATTTTTTTTTTATGGCCGGTTCGCGCGGTATTAGTATCGCGTTCATGGACTTGTCACCCGAATGCCTTGGTGCTTTGAAATATCCTGGTAAGGCAAACTATGCACATTTTTTCTTATAACAATGCATTTTAGTATAACCTGCTTGTGAATATTATATGTAGCTTTTGGGAGAGCGTGAAGAAACCTTCTCTCGTAAAATATTTAGAGTTTCGATTACACGAAGGTGATATCAATAATTTAGAAACAGAACACCATAGTTACATAATGGAACTAAATACTATCGCAAAACACTGTGCTGAATCACCCGAAATCGTGCAGAAAGTACTAGAGTGGAAAAAAAAATTATGGAAAGTTCGATTTTATTTATTGTTCTGCGCCTGACTGTATTGCACTGTTCCGTCACCAACTACCTTGTCAAGCGCTGTTTGGCAGTGGGAAAGAGCGCAGTTCTGTTGGTGAGCATGCAGTAAATTGCATGTAAGGGCTCAGTAGACAATATGACCATCAACTACCCTGTCAAGCGCTGTTTGACAGTGGGAAAGAGCGCGGTTCTGTTGGTGGCAGGCGGTTAACCTCTCAAACAAGCTGGTTACATATTTTTCTTTATTAATTATCCTTATACTATATTAGATAGATAAAAGCTCTGAAGAAGTAAATCTTTTCTGGAATTTACACCAAAATATTCACACTGAGATCAAGTTATACGAGAAAAAGGCACATCTACATCGAGTAAGTTTTCTTATGGTATATTCGAAAAATTTTAATGGCTTTTTGTTTTATAAAACCTAACAATATTTGGATGATAAGAGCAAACTAAACGATCTGAAAGATCAAATCAGTATCAAACAGGTTAGCATGTTGGCTTGACACTTGTTCTTAATGTTTGTATACTGAAAGGTTCATTTATAGACGCAACATATATTGGATGCAACAAAAGAAACACTGTCCCAAAATCTCACATTACAAAGAACAATCATTAAACAACACTTGTTGGGTAAGACGGATGTATCACCTATTGAGAATTCGGAACCTGTAACTGGACAAAAACGATCTTACGAGGAAGAATTACCTTCAACACCACCAAATAAGGTCAGTATACGACTTAAATTTAACCCTAATACACACTACTCCATGTCCTAACGCCCGAGCCACAAAGTCGTTACCTGGTTGAGTGGTCTCCCTTGCTCGGCGCAAGTCTTCACGACTCTTCAACACCTCACTATTCCACTCCTCCACAGCCTTTATCAACCTGGCCTCATCGCCTTCCAGTCTATCCTTTCCCTTATTATCTTCTTCATCTAGTTCTTTCCTGCGTCTCCTCAATTTCTTCAGCTGTAGCCCCTCGTCTGTTTGCCCAAATATGTACAAGCAAACAAACAATGTTTCTTAGAATGTCAACGGGTTGGATAGCGATAGAAAAATAGTAATTTAATGTATATCCTGATGATTACGTCAACAAAAAATGATTTATTACATCGGTAAGTGGAACCGGACTCTTTTTATCTTTACTGATTAGCATATGGACAAAGAGTGATGTACAAAACGTTGAGGACGAAGGTCTAGTCGTGAAAAGCACAGCGGATGGGAAGGGATCTAGGTGATGCGTATAGGCAATAGGAATTCGTAGAATACTGTGAGTGGTTATGACTGATAATTTTTTGCGAAGGTAACATTTTGCGAGTTGCTGATGTCATTATCTGTGCTATAATCTACTACTATTAATCTTGCAGATAGATGTTTGCTCCCACCGTTTATTACATTGTCAGTGGGAATGGAATGACTATCGCACTATTGATTGACGGAACAACCCTCGTGTGTGGTTATCTAAGAGATCTATAGTCACCCTCTCTATAAGCACATCATATAAAAACCTCTTTATTAGCACACCATGTTTGAGAACCAATTACTATGGAACTTATAGGAAAAACCCTCTATACAGTCACAATCTCTTTATAAGCACATTTTCAACAAAAGTTGCATTGTTCCCGACTGTGTGATTATAGTATATAGGGGGGTACGACTGTATCCTGTTTCACAGATTGATGATTTTTTAATTTTCTCAATTTCATCATCTATGTTGCCATGTGAATAGCCTTTTCATTATCTTTCTGCTCTATATTTACGAATTTAGTTCAAAGTTTGTTCTAATTCCACAATTCTAGCTTTGAAACATGCTTCCTTAGCCAAGAATTCAGCCTTTTCCCTTTTTAATTCCTCAATTTCAGCGACAAGTGTGGAATTCTGTTCTTCTAATATATCGACTTGGAATTGCGTGTTTGCCATTTTATACAAGACGCAGATACTCTCAAACGTTCATATTTATATATTTTAATGTTGTTAATTTCTATTATTTTTAATTTTAATTATATTTCTTGTATTGGAGCAAATAAAGGGAGTCGAACCCTCATCATTAGCTTGGACGGAAAGTTTGAATAAATAAATTAATGAATGCGTGACCAAAAGTCACGCCGTTCGCTTTTGCCAAGAAAAAAATAATAGCGACAATGGAACACACGATTGCGAGATATGCGTAACGCGTGAAAAAATTCATTGCTTTATTAATTACAGAAAGGCCTCAACCCGACGCTTTTTAGCATCAGGTGCCTTCTATACCATTACCCTATCCTTCAACAAACCTGCAACGATTTCCATTACTTTTTTTACGCTATTTTTCAAATCCAAATCGTCCTTGAGTGCTGACTTGGTGAGTGAGATATGGTATTCGGTTTCGCTGGTACAATAAATGCCTTCCGTCGTGTATAAGATGAAGTACCAGTTCGTGCCTAATATTATACGAAATACAAGTTAGAAAAGCTCGCTTACGAGCCTTACGAAACAATATGCCTACCTGTTGAAACGACGCCGTATAAATATTCATAATTCATTTTTAAATTTGTCTGACACGAACTTTCAAGCTGGACAAGGTTTTGGGCAAACCCAATGGCTGGCAAATTTTGCTTACCTTCCGCAACACATAATAAAACCTCTATATCTGTTATACCATAATCGGCCCGACCTGATAATTCCTCACCTATGATTTCTTGATTTTTATCTTTTACCGGTATTGTTTCTTGCTATACGAACCGACGCGTGAAGGATTGCAGAAATTTATTCTCTGCGCATGGCTTCGTTGCTGTCAGCGACTGTTCCCATGTTCGTCAGTTTTACTAGTATATCCGAGACGCAATGGCAAAGAGCTTCGTCTTCCTCATCGAGAGGGTGGGTTTCTAACAGTATATGTCGGAATGAGACCTGCTTCGGTGTAAAATGATATTATGCTGTTGAGTTGCAAGTCTTCTTGCTCCTTCAACAACTCGATAAGTTTCCGTATCATACTTTCTAACCAGTTCGGCTAAAGTGGGGGAGGCTTTTCTTCCTTCACAATACTAAGAAGCGGAGGCTGGAGTTAACATTTTGAGATATTTCGCGACACAACTAGTACTGTATATGTGAGAAATTTATTTATTGTTTGGATTTTGGTTTAAACTACTGATTAACTTTTTTATTTCTTCTTCGGTTAAAATATTGTTTTGATTTTAATTTCTGCATTATTTTTATAATATTAAAAGATTAAATCATAAAGAATTTATAATAAAGTTTGCAGTTGACTGAATATTTTTATTCATTATCAGTATAGGTTGGTCTTTATATTCTAATAAGCCGTGTTAAAATTTTATATTTATTTCGTTCGCTGTTGTTATTTTCTGGTTAAAAAATCCTACCGCAGTGTAGTTTCTGATACTATTGAGACATACTCTCCGTGAGCATTTTAACCTTTGGTGCCCGCCCGTGAGTGTTAATAAACTCTGGGATAGCGAGCAATCAAGTGGGAACTTCTTACGATAAGTTATTGTGTCCCAAATTCAGCCAAAATATGGAATAGTGCTGGCTAATATTAACTGAACTTTCATTGCGCCTTACTTATTACTGTGTTAATCACATCATGAGATGCGTTTAACACTAAATTGCGTTTAACACCAATCTTATTTTTTTCCCTCTTTTTTCTCGCTCTACCGCGCGTTTCCAAGATTATACTTGCCTTAATCTCGAGATAATCAGGATTATTACTTAATTCGTTGCGCAAATTTAATTTAATTATCCTTTAATCGACGCAATGTTTGGTGAATATGGGCAGACGATAGCTAATATAGGTATAACGACTGTTTCTTCTTGCACACGTATTATTTTATGTTTTCATTCCATGGCAAAAATTACCAAGTCTAAACATATTAACAGACAGTCTCATTATATATAAATCTGGGTTATAGATTCGCTTATCATGCCAACCTGTTTGACTCAGGTATTATAACTGGAAATAACAAAGTACAAGTTATAATGTTGGATAATAATAATATTCTGTTCCAAGTTCTAAAGGAATTCGGTCAATAAGTAATGAAATGGAGCTCGCTCACTATAACTTATGACTGAATTTTCTACGGGTCTGTTCTCTTGAATTTAGGTTTTTGTTCTTTAGAGTGCACCGAAACAGAGGTCAATCGTTCGACGATATTATAATGGTCAGCATTTGCTAAACATTACAGCTTTCGTATTCACAACTGTTGAGACAAACCAGCTTTAATGTTATCACAGGCCGTGCTCGACGTTTCCGCATCGGAATAGTCAATACAATT